CTGAAATAATTGTCTATGTGTGCGATCCATTAAATCTACTAAGAAAGATGGCTTTCGCCATTTCCTCACAGTGGGCATTCCTTGAAAAAACCGCATTAACAGAGGTTAATACTTACCCCCTCTTCCCTGCGCGCTGCCATCCGAAAATGTGAAGATCCTTGGGCAAAGCATCTTGGGGCGGGTGCATGCGCAGTTCGGATTCTCGGGCGAGAGACGAGGAGAGACACAAGGTAAGTCTATGAACGCATGCACCCTCATGCAGACACCATGGGACAGAAAGTGCCAGCAAGCACAGAGGAGTCGGCGCTGGATCGGAGAGCCGCCACACCGCTGGAGGGACAGATGAAAACATCAGGAAAGAAGAAGAAGATCGGATTAAGAGACATAATTTAAGTTAAGTGCTTTCATTACCATTGGGGGGAGGGGGAAAAATTGACTTTAATGTCACTTTAAATCCAATGAAGTCTAAAAAATACAGTCACTTGACTAAACTAGAAATACTTATCGTTGTTGTAAAGCTTCATGAACTGAACCTATTGTCTTCTTTTACAGGTATAGCTTAGCTGAGTAGTGAGTATAGTGACAGGGTTGCCATACGTTCTACTCTCTTTTTTTTCTTTATAGCTGTACAAGTGCTGATCACATGAGAAGCATGGACATCCCAGCCAAAGTTTCAGGAGACCTGTTTTAACAAAACAAATATTTTGTTCAGCTGTACATCCTGTTTAGAATAATTGGACAAGAAAGACAGCTTGTGTGTATTCGAAGCGATATTCAGGATAAGCTGCTTAGGGTAAAAATACAATTTTCTTCCTTTCCACATTCATCAAGAACAGCCCTGTGCTATAAATAACCTTTTGGCTCTGTACATTACAATTAAAGAGGCTAAAATCAGCTTTCTTTTTTTACAAAATGCTTTCCCGCTGTAAAGAGAAGGAACATTTACTGCTACAAAAACCAAATTATATACCTGTTCTTATATAACATTACATAGCTTTAACCACTTCAGGACTATCTGTAGAAAATGAGTCAAGGCAACTGGACTTGCTGCATTTTTCTTGAACACGTTTCACTGGTCATCCAACCAGCTTTCTCAATTCAGAATGACTTGTACAAAAAATCTCTCTATTCCACATACAATGCTGTTTTAGCACCTCCTAGACTCCAATTATGGAAATGCATTCAACACCTGGTTGCGACTAACAGATTATGTGGAATGGAGCAACATTCACCATCTTTATTCCCAGAGAATTTTTGTACAAGTCATTCTGAATTGAGGTAGCTGGTTGGATGACCAGTGAAACGTCTTCAAGAAAAATACAGCAAGTCCAGTTGCCTTGACTTATTTTTTACAGATATACCATGACCTGGATGAATGAGAACCTTCACAGACACTTCAGGTGTGTGTGTGTATGTATATATGTGTATATACATACATCTCTCCTCCTCGCTGGGCGCTGCTCTGCGTCCCTCTGGAGGAAAAGTCTGCTGGAGCCAGAGTATTGTACACACAATCCACTGACTGTAGTCGTAATGCTTTACATGCTCTAGTGCAGGGGCGCCCACAATTTTTTGTCTGGAGATCTACTTTTCAAATGACGAGCTCAATGAGATCTACCAGGGAAAAAACACCTGCATTCAGGGGCGGGAGAGGGCGTGGCAGTGCATTGAAGTCAACCGGCCATCTCTTTTCTCTCTCCTTGCGCTCTCTCCTCTCTTTCTCCCCTGTTTCTATCTGCTGTCTCTTCTCTCTCTCTGCTGTCTCTTCTCTCACTTTCTCTGCTGTCTCTCCCCTGTCTGTCTTTTCTTACCTCCACTGCAGCAGCTTCCCTAGTTTCCTCTCCTCTCTCCTTCCCGTCTGCAGCATCTGCCACATTCAGCCGCACGAGTACCGCGGGAGGACAGGACACAGGTCAGTGAGCCGATCGGGATCTACCAGTTTTTGCTTTGCGATCTACTGGTAGATCGCGATCTAACTAATGGGCACCCCTGCTCTAGTGCAAGAAATAATAAATGTACTTCTTTTTTTAACTTTTATTAGTGTGTGCGCGTTATTATTTTGTCAAAGGTGGACTATATCTTTAATACTTTTTTGTACATAGCTTAGGCACAGGTTCATTTTAAGACTTGCTGTATGTTTCAAGAGCTTAAAAACTTGCCTGTATGTCAAATCAGTTAAGTAATTGGTTGTGCGCAGTTAATATTTGCTAGTTTTGATCTGGGTTGGTTTCTGTTTCTTTACTTGTATATAAAAAAAGGATTTATTTAAGGGGCCCATTCACACCAGATGCAGTCCGTTCCGTATTTGAGCTGCATCAAAAATGCAGCACAATGCTTTCCTATGGGATTCTGGTGTGCTGTTCACACCAGACTAATCCATTCTGATGCAGCCAGAAAAAGTACTGATTGCACTATTTTAGCTGTATCGGATCGCGACGGAACGCATCAAAACACATGCAAACTTAACGCACCTGAAATCCCATTTTAGGCCAATAAAAATAATGCATCAATCGCAGTAAGATCGCGATAAAATCACGGTAAACGCATCGCACCGCTGGTGTGCAGACACATGCAGTTCTGGTGTGAACTAGCCCTTAAGCAGACATTCACTTAAAATTCACCTGTACTTTTCCCATATTGGACAAACAAGTTCACTTTACAGGAGTGACAAAAAGCAGGCAGTGATTACCTTGTCCCCTGATTCATGACCAGTCTGTCTCCAATATGTCTCCCCACAATGCATTGCTTGGTGTATTAACCACCAAATCAAATTCCAGGCATGAGTGTTGTCCTATGGGTAAGTGGTGGGGACACTGCACGGCCCTGCATATGTTTTTGCTTGATTAGAATCTCAGGCAGTCTGATCATGGATTGGAGTGGTGGAGGATAGCCTGCAGGGTAGGAACAGCATATTTCAGGTCCCTCCTGTAAAGTTACTTCACCCTCTAAGATGGACAAAGAGCAATTTCACTTAAAACCGGCTGAAAACAATGCTGTGGGCTATGGAAGACCTCTTCTCCGTCACTAAGTGCACAGAAGAAATCACTGCTAAAATGTTGTCACGTGGTATCTAAATCTTTGTACTGACTTTAGTTTAGGTTCCCATATATCGCCCAGCCACAGACTTGTAGTGCAGTGGGATAAAGCTAATAGCTGTTGGCTCTTGCTCTGTTTAATAACTCCCTTTTATTGTAAACAGCAGTTCTTGCTCTTGTGCCCTGTGTTGAAGGCAAGCAACCCTCCTGTGCCTGTAGGCCCATATCTTCCAAGCCTGCATCACTAGGTGCATTGTCCAAACCCCTTACTCAAACACCTATCATGAGGAATGGCTTTTTCTTCCTAGATCTAGATCACCGGCCCTGCTGATTATGTTCTTCTGAAGATCACTTCCCATCTGCAGCTTATTGGAAGTTGCTTCTGGCATAGGTCATATTATAATTACTTGATTATTTTTAATATTATACATTACATACAGTAGATGAAAAGTGTCAAGGCACTGTATTTCATGAAAAATTATGAAATCCAAAATGAGGGGGAAAAAAAACAATGAAAATACCCTATGCGTTATGATTTAGTGAGTTGACCCCAAAATGCTATATTTGATTTTATTTTGATATCTTAGTTTTACACCAAAATCAAATGTATTTGAACTTTCTAACTTATCCACTACCCTCATGTACCTGTCCACAATGTACAGACAAATCCTAATGTGCTGACATACACTATAAGAAAAAGTTTAGTATGCAGCAGTAAAGCATTCAATATGTTGACCCTTTCACTTTTGCCCTCTTCCTGGAGACTCTTTTGGGAATGTTATTGGTGCTCTTTATTTCATCAATTGTATCATTTAGGGCCCACTCACACCATGTTCGGATCATCTCCAGACCAGACCAGATTGTTTCCAGACCCAAAATGCATCCTAATGTATCCCTATGGTATTTCCGGCCTCTGTTCAGAGCAGCGCAGTCCGTTCCAGACTAGACCTGTCCTATTTTGTCTGGTCTGGAATGCACTGGAACACACAACACATACAAACGCACCTGTGAGACCATTTTAAGCAAAATAAAATAAATTCCAAATGCGGCAAAATCCCGTTAAAAATGCAATGTGTTCAAGATCTGGTCCGGAAAATGGTGTGAACCATACCCCAAACGGTCTGTATATAAATCTTTAGCCCTGCCATAAGCTGGCTGAATGCCATCCACATGGCATTGCAACCACTAGGTGGAGCCAAGGCACCTTTCCTATGCTCCTTGGCTCCATTTGGTGGTAGGAATGCTGTGCAAATGGCGTTCACGTAGCGTATGGCTGGGTGGAAGATTTAGAAATGGTTATCAATAAAAAAGATTTATAAATTAAGATCCAATCATGCAAGCAAAAATCCTGTTTATTGTATTTCCTTTGCACGTGATTGAGTATTCAAAGTAAACAGAGCTTCAGATTATTTCAGAAAGCCTAGTGACCGTTCTCTACTTGGGTTATTCAGGCAATGCACAATATTTGCCCTACTCTTTTTAATTGGAAAACTACCGTATATCCGCTTTAGATAAGACACGTAAACAATGCTTAAAATTAAAATACTGAAACTGTTTGAATAAAATTAAGTGCAGATTGAATTTTGGCCATTTCCTGCTGAATTGGCTGAATTTTGATCCGCGAATGTCCAGCTGGACCAAAATACATTTTTAAATCAAGCCGGGTGGAAACATTTTGGCTGAATAGTGACTGCAGCCAATCAGCTGCAGTCATTGTTCTGGTAATATGACAGCCATGGATGCCGGCTGTCCAGAATAGAGTAGCCGGCAGAGAATATCTCTCTATTCATGCTCTTTAGCTTGGATGGGGCCATGTGATTTCTCTTGTTCCGCCCCACAAAGTGTATTGTCGGCTTTACAAACAAAGTGAGTCACTCTTCTATATACAAAATTGGTACCAAGTATGAGTGATTTTGTGACTGTTAGCATGCCGCCTGAAGTGTTAATGTCTGTGTTCCTTTGTAGGTTTCTCAGGCAGCAGCAGAGCTCCAGCAGTATTGCATGCAGAATGCCTGTAAAGATGCTCTGCTGGTTGGAATGCCAGCTGGAAGTAATCCATTCCGTGAGCCCCGATCTTGTGCACTTCTCTGAGGCTGAGGCAATGAATCACTGACTGATGTAAGTACTGCCTGCAGTTGCTTATTGTAAATGTTAACCATGATAAATATTTACAGCTGAACTCCAGGCAAACAGGTAAATACACAGTTAAATCTGTATACTGTTGTAAGAGCTGTTTTACCTGCTGAAGGGTTTGTCATTTTGTGCATCTAGTCCTGACATTTAAACCGCCTTGCCCAACTGTTCAGTGATGCTGGTGACCCGCTGCAATTAGTTGCAGTTTATCTTTCTGCCCTCTGCTTTTTCCTCATGTCAGCTTATTCTTTGCCAGACCTTTTACATGCAGCACACGTAGATGGCTCATGGTGCTGCTCCTCCTTCTCCCAGTCTGTGTGTTGCTGTACAAGGGATTACAGGAGGCTGATATCGGTTCAAATGTAGGTTGCATTTAATTTTTTTTTAAATTATTATTATTTATTTTTTAGTAAATACAAAACTTCTTTCAGTTGTGTTTTTGTATATGCGAATAGAGTTGAACCCCACTCGGGGCAAATAATGATCCCCCTCTCACCCCTCTCTAAACCATCATGCAAGGTTTTTTTTTTTATTACCTGGTAAGTCAAGTTATACCCACCTAAGTCTGCTGTCCAGGGCCCTCGTCAGCACTATTTTCGGGGGGCAGGGGAAGGCCCAGTGTCATAGAGGGTCCCTTGCTGGCTGACCTTCACTGTCTCCTGGCAATGACATCACTCCTCTTCCGGATGCTGAGAGGACTCTGCTGCCGTACATCCAATTGGAAGCGCCCACATCATGCAGGCAGTAATGTGGCTACCCGAAGAGGACCCTACTAGAAGAAAACAGAAGAGAAGGCTCGAGTCTGGAGTGTCACGTGACCATGGCTTTAGGTAAGTAAAAAGGGCGTTAAAAAAAAAAATACAAACATTAGGGGGTGGGAGGGGAAGATTACTTTATCCCAGAGATGGGCTTTAAAGGACAATTAACTATAAGTACAGCTGTCCTTTAAGTTAACCCCATACCTACCTGAGTTCAGCATGCCTGTTAACCACTTGAAGACCAGGTGTGTACACCCCCTTCCTGTCCAGGCCATTTTTCAGTATTCAGCGCTGCAGTACTTTGACTGACCTTTACTCCGTCATGCAATGCTCTACTGAAATGAATTTTATACCATTTTCTTTACTATATAACAAAAAAAGTACCTTAAATTTTGAAAATAAGACTGTTTCCGTATGAAATGTTATGAAACATTTATTATCACCCCAATTTTTTTGTAAAATATAAAAGACGGGGTCACGTCGGGTAAATAGACACCAAACAGGTCAAGCTTTCTATTCGCTCCTAAGATCTTCACTGTGCGCTTCTGCCTGTCACCACAAAGCCTTGGGTAGGAAAGCATACAGGCCAGATCCTGTTCCTACTTCACTGGCATACCTTGCCTCAATCATTGCTAATGATGAGCCATACTCCACTAGAACTTGATAAAGATGTCACCAGCACACCCAGATGAAGTGTCTAAACAAAAACATCTATTTATTGACGCATATTGTCATTTAAAAAGCATGCTTGATTAAGTGACAATATGTTTTTGTTTGGACACTTCCTCTTGGTGTCCTGGTGACAGCTTTATCAAGTTCTGTGGTCACTTCAAGTACCCAGCTTGTTTATCTGCGGTAAGGAGTGCTGTAGGACATCCGTATAATACTCCACTAGAGGCCATCCTGAGTATGGCTCATACTAATAAATGGGGTCATGGCATGCATGAGCGGCTGTAAGAGGATCCAGCAACTGCACTTAAAGTACGCTTGTCCTTTTAAGCTGTACAGAATAGTTCTATTGCAATCAGTAGAAACTACTACATACCTAGGAATGTTTCATCAATCTCATGTGGCTCTGTGAGCCCATGTTCAATATTAAGCAGTGTGGAACCCTGCTTTGTGTCTTGATAGTGGTCCATTAAGAAAGCTTTAATGATTTTAGTCATTATTAACCAGATAGTACTCGCTAGAAAAGTCCCTATACCAATACTAGTATCAGGGCCGATACAGAGCATTGTCAGGAGTACCTGTACTCCTGACAATGCCCCCGATACATAGCGCCGATGCCAGCACTTAAAATCTTGAAATAGGTTCGGGCTGCTTGTACAAGTGATCTGTCCCGATCACTTATATAGCAGCCTGCTCGTCTGTCCCCCTCACGGCCCCTCCCCTCCAAGGTCCGTCCCTCATGGTTCGCCCCCTCATGATCCATCCCCACCGTGGTTTTCGGGCTCTCTGCTCTCCTGAGGGACCGGGGACCATGGCAAAGTAGTTCTGTGATCAGTGACATAGGAGCACTGTATTCACAGCGGTTCCTGTGTCAGCTGTTACAAACGGAGCTCTACAGAAGGTAGAAGATAGTGTTGGATCTTCTGCATTGGACGGCAGGCTCATACAGAATTATATCACATAGGGGATTGTTATCCCCTGTTTTATATCAATAAAGTTAAGTGAAAAAAAGTAACACAAAATACAAAATAGGTCATGACACACGAAAAACGTACCGCCACGTTTGCTAATAACGTTACTAAATTTGAAGCTGTTTCGTCCACCTGGGTCCAATATTACAGACATTCCTCGTTTAACGACATACCTGTTTAACGACTGCTCGGACTTACGACCAGTGTGTGCTTTTCAGACTTACAACCGAATTTCAGACTTGCGACCGCACGGTGCGCAGTTCAGACGTAGGGACATGAGGCATTGTGGCCTATGGTGGCTTCTTCTACTGCTACAATACAGTACAGTGCGGCCTATGGTGACTTCTACTACTACATTGCGACATTGATTCTATGCAAAAGATCTACAGATTTCTGGGTGAGTATTATGCAGCATACTGTCTACAGTACTGTATGGATAGTACAGTACTGTATATTTGCAACACTACAGTACTGTATATGCATGGTGTGCCAGCCATTCCAACCACCTTTTGCTTGCTGTTTTTCTGATGTGCAGCCCAGGTGGTACCTGTAGTGTGACAATGTACAGTAATGTACAGTACTTTCTTTTCTTGATCAGTAGTGTTGTGAGATCTGGGTACCTTATTCCATACTGTATTGTTTATTTTGTACCCCTTAGTACGAGATGCCATCAAAACGGAGGAGTTCACCAGGAGAAAGCAGCAAAAAGCAAAGGCTATTGATCTTGACATGAAAGCGAATATCATAAATTACTATGAAGCTGGTAAAGTTAATGCAATAGCACAGGACTTGAATCTGGCGCATTCAACCATTTCAACCATCCTGAAGGACAAAGAACTTCAGGATGGTTGAAAAGAGTGAAAAAACAATAATAACTAGGCAGCGGAAATGCCTCATTCATTACATGGAAAAATTATTGGCGATCTGGTTTGGTGACCAGATACAAAAAAGAATGCCAATGAGTATTTCAATAATTCAAGGCACTCAGTATCTTAAAGACTTTGAAGCTAAAGAATCGATGGAAACATTTACAGCAAGTCGTGGATGGTTTCAGAGGTTTTGTCGCATAATCCAAGTGTCACTGGTGAGGCGGCAAGTGCAGATGTGGAAGCAGCAGAAAAATGTCTTGACCAATGATAAAATCATAGAGAAAGGCGGCTACTGTCCAGAACAAATCTTCAATGTGGATGAAACTGGACTTTTTTGGAAGAAAATGCCTGAAAGGTCCTACATACACAAAGAAGCTAAAACAATGCCTGGCTTCAAGGCTTTTAAGGACAGGGTCACGTTGTTGTTTGGAGGAAATGTTACTGGGTTTAAGTTGAAGCCTTTCCTCATTTATCGGTCTGAGAACCCCCGTGCATTGAAGAACGTAAGCACACATTGCCTGTTTACTATCGAGCGAATAACAAGGCATGGATGACGCAGGCTTTATTTGAAGATTGGTTCATTAACTGTTTTACACCTTCGGTGAAGCATTTATCGTCTGAAAAAGAGCGTTCTTTTTAAATTTATCCTTCTGCTTGATAATGCTCCAGGCCACCCTCAGCATCTTGATGATCTACACCCAGATGTAAAGGTAGTGTATCTGCCTAAAAACACAACTGCTATCTTACAGCCAATGGACCAGGGGGGCTATAGCTACCTTCAAAGCAAACTATTTGCACAGAACCTTTTCCACAGCTGTAGCAGCAACAGAAAACAATGAAGTAACCCTTCGTGATTTCTGGAAATCATACAACATTTTAGAGTGCATTAAGAACATCGAATCAGCTTGGGAAGGAGTGACAGAAAAGTGTATGCAAGGCATATGGAAAAAATGCCTAAAACGTTTTGTGCATACATCAGAAGCATTTGACAAAGACGAACATGTCAATCTTATAAACGAAACAACTGTGGAACTTGCTAACGTGCTTAATTGTGAGATATTAAAGAATTAGTAGAATATACTGAGGGAGAGCTAAGTATGGAAGATTTAATAGAGTTGGAAGCACAGTAACAGAAGAGGAGGAAGAAGAAGAAGAGGAAAGAATTGAAGTACCAAAGAACTTCACTGCAAAGGGATTAGCGGGTGTGTTCTCAAAAGTGAATGCAGCTATGTTAGAACTAGAAGCTATGGATCCAAATGTCGAACAGTTCACAAAAGTGGAACGGCAAATGAGTGAATTTTTACGATGCTATCGTGAAATTTATGAAGCAAAAAAGAAAATGACGAAACAGACCACACTAAAGGGAAAGGAACCCAGGACCCCTATTACTAGTTCTTCCATTTCTACTTCATAATCTCCCTTAGCTGGGCCTTCTACATTTCCTGATCAGAATTCCGATGATGACACTGACAATACCTTTTTAGGATTCAAAGACTAAAAGTTAGCTTGAATGTCTTTTTTTTTTGTACAAATCTGTACAACTTGTTTAGTACAGTACAGTGTTGCACCATGTTAGCCATCGATAAATGCAAGATGTTTGACATTTTGTAGTACCCTTTATTTAATTTCTTTAAAAACAATATTTAATATAATTTCGTATATAATATCAACATCCATATTACATGAAAATAACAATAGCATCAGCATCCATCAGCAAGCAATCTCTTATCAATAATTATTAATTTCAGGTGACAAGTAAGTGAAAAGCTAATGCTTATAATCAATTGTATAGTGAACTGTACCACCATCATTAACATGTGTTCATAAAAATTGCAAAGTAGGAACTTGTATAGCTAGAAGTGTAATCCCAAGAGCATGCATCTTTAACAACTCCAGTTAGCCAATAAAGGGTATTACAAACATTCCAACATCTTGCATACATCTTGTTTAGTGAGCCTCAATGTCTTTTTTGTACAGTACACCTTGTTCATACAGTACTGTTTTGCTGAGTGTACTGTACAGTCCAGCTCTAGTACTACTTTTATGCAAATAAAAGCAAAATGATCAAGTTGGCATTTCCTTTGTACATTTCTTTGCTCTGAATATTGTAAATGACATATTATACTGTATACAATTCCTCGTTTGCGGTACTTTGACTGACGTTTATTCCGTCATGCAACGCTGTACTGAAATAAATTTTATACCATTTTTTGGGGACAGATAGAGCTTTATGTTGGTGGTATTTAAACACCACTGGGGTTTTTATTTTTTACCATAATTAGGAAAAATTACAGAAAATTTTGGGGGAAAAAAGTATTTGTTTTACATTATGTTAGGAAACATTTATTATTACCCAGTTTTTTGGTAAAATATAAAAGTCGGGGTCACGTCGGGTAAATAGACACCAAACATGTCAAGCTTTAAAATTGCGCACACCCGCGAAATCTCAGAAAACTACCATACCTAAAATTGGCCATAGGCAACACTTTAAAAGCTTTTACCGCTCATCAGTTTAGTGTTATTTAGTGTTTAGTGTTGATGGCCCTAGAATGATTGCTCTCACTCCGACGTTCGCGGCGATATGTAACATGTGCGGCATAATGGGCGCAATCGTCTTTTTTGCACGTACGCGCCCCCGACGCATGTTTGCATGCGTGTATGTATGGGTGGGGACTTACGGGGGCTAATTAAATACGGCTGATCGCTTGTTTGGTAACAGGCATTGCTGCCTGTTTTTAAATATCAGCCATTTCCCACTCGGGGCGCCGAGGGGGCGTGTCTGGGCGGACGTCTAAAGACGCCCGCTCAGATCTAGAGACCTCTTGGCCGGCCGTTTTTTTACAACGGCCTACCCTGAGGTGGTTAACGACCTAGTTGTAGGAACAGAACTCGGCCGCTAAACAAGGAATGTCTGTATTTAACTTCCCGATTCGATCCACGTTTACTCTTTATTTTGATTTTCCCCCCCTGATATCTCCCTAATCACCCCTCCCCTCCGACCACTCATTGGGACACCTCTCTTTCTTTCTCTCTGACTTACTTTCCTTTTCACTTTTTCTTTTAAGCTTTTTCCTTTTCTTTATTTTGTCTTTCTTTATTATTTGTTGCTCGATAACAGGACATTTCCAATCTTTCGGGACCTCGCTGGACTTATCATCCAGTCAATCTCTATATTGCATTGAGATTTTAAGATATCTTTTTTTACAGATTTCTTAATGTTTTTTCTGTTTGTATCTCCATGTGATCTTTCTACCTACATACTGTGTCTCTGTTATTGTCACAGTTATTGTCTGTTATTTTGTAAATATTTACATTTTTCAATAAACATTTATATGGAAGGGGAAAAAAAAATAAAAATTAAAAGTTAATAAAATTAAATAAAAAGGTAAAAAATAAATTAAAAAGTGATGGAGTAGAAAACAATACAAAATAATAAAAAAAAAATACAAAATAATAAAATAAAGTGCTAAGAAGGTAATAAAATAAATGCAAATTAAAATAAAAACCAACACTGCCATCTGCCTGCGAATAAACGAGAAAAAGTCACATGTCACTTTAAGGAAAAAGTATCGGTAATTGGTATCTGAGGCAAAGTACTTGGTTTTGAAAAAATGGTATCGGGACAGCCCTGGTTCTCACACCTCTATGCCCCTTATGGACCATTTCTGCTCTGGGCCTATTCATTAAAAGATAACGTTGTCATTACAAACTCAATACAAATTAGTAAACGAAATGTGTTGTCCATCCCAGGAGTGAGCTTGGAGTGGTGGCTACTTTACATCACGCACAGGGACCATTGACAAAGGAGTAGTCACCCTCCAGAAGGACAGTGCCCGCACCAATTCAGAGATGATTTGAGGATCTACAGCCGAGTGATTCACAAATGAGATACAGTTTTTTTGATAGATAAGGTACTTGAATGTATTTTTAAGATTCAACTCTTGAGTTTAGTGTCACTTTAATTTGTTCCATTTATAATGGTAGAGCTGCCTGAATACAATCACTGGCAGAGGAGATTCCTCCATCCACGCTGTTAGAGTTGATGGGGGAGTCGATTGATTTTTTTTTTTCGTTCAGCCTGCAGGCTTAATGAGTGAGAGAAAATCAAGCTGTCTTTGGCCAGCTTTAGGCTTTTTCCATTGTTCTCAAACCAAAAAGACATTTTCCATATCTCCTGCATTGTAATGTTTGCCTGCAAATTCTACTACTACTATCAAATCTTTTCCCCTCTATGTATACTGTATCGCAGGTTTAACTAATGTGATTCTAAGGATTTCCCTATTAGTTCTGTGCTTAGCAGTGTCCTGTTGTCTAAGCTACAAGGCTGCCATACTAATGTACTCCATTAGGGAAAGGATAAAATATTTACTTTTTAGGTAATATGTTTACATGAAAGTACTGCTTAGTAAGAATCATTCTAATGGATACAAGTCATAGTATGAATTGGGTTATAATTTTTTTTCTTCAGAGTTTAACAGTTCAAACATATGAATCCTTTTCTAAAATGCTCTTCACTTGTCATTTTAGGTAACCACCACTTGAGGATCTGAAATATATACAGCCTGCCTTTTCCTGTGCCATTCCAAATGTGGACAAAGCCTACACCTTTTTGAATATTTATTAGTTTTTTTTTCCACCATTCACATTTTTTTTTGGCCTTTTTTATATCATTTGATTTTCTATTAAAAAAAAGCTTGCTTTTGGAGAAATGTTACAGTTTAGAAATCTACACAGACACTGAAGTGCTACAGCATTTTACACATATACATTGGTTAAGAGTTAAGCCTGTGATTGTTAAAATAAATATTGACAACCCTTTTTCTATTTATGGGGGAAATACAAAGTATTTTTGAACAGGTACAAATGTTTTATGAAAATAAATATATTGGTATGATAGAATCAAGAATGCAGTATCTTCCTGTGTCCGCTGAAATGTAGCATTTTGATCCATTTATTAAATATAGATAGATTTTATTTGCAATTGTTTCTTCTTTTTATTGCTTGTTATATTTAAATATTCTCAGTATGTTTTACTGGGTTTTTTCAGTCTGGTCATAAAAAAAAATATTCAGTAAGGAAACACCGCATTTGATAGACTAGGCTTTGCTAGAAATATGGTTGGCCAAACCAAAAATGTAATTTTAATTTAAAAATAATAATTTGCTGAAAAAATCACCGATTTAAAGTCTCCGAATGTTTTTTGTTTTCTTTAGAATTGACAGTACAAAACAACATGACAATTTAATAAAACAACAAAAGAGATGAAATACGGTATATGCACAAAAATAAAAATGGCTCATGTAAGAAGAGTAAAGTTTGTGTCTGTGGCCTATTATATTATTGCTGAGATTATTTTAAAATAAGAAATAACTACCGAGATGTTCTGTCTCAGTTTTCATATTAAAGTCTTGACATTTGGATATGATTGCAGGAGGGAAAAAATCAATCCGTTTTTATAGGTTTTCTTTTTTTTTATGAACCAAAAAAACAAATGTATTTGTTGAGTAATGTGTCCGTGTATGTACATTAGCTTTGTAAATGATGGCTATTTCTATGTTCTTATGGTTATCTTACATCCAATGTCACTGTCCCAGCCAGCAGAAGAGGAAGGGGAGAATGCAAGAGTTGGTACATGAAGTATCAAACAAGACTGATCTTTTTCATTTTAGTGCTAATCCCTTCTAAGAAAGGTCAACTAACAGGTTAATTGCGATGAGCTCTTAATGGACAATGATTGCTGGTTTATACAAGCATCAAAGTTTTATTTAGTAACTTAAAATCCAAAGTGCTAGGAATTGCCCTGATTGTGGGTACTAAACAGGGCTATAGCCAACTTATTAAGATCCTAAGGCCCAGCACATTAGATAATGTAGTCATTTTAACTTAAAAGGACAGCATCATGTATTTTCAGAGAGTGCATATAATAAGTTATTTATTGTTTGCCTTAAACTCATTTTTGAGGTGACCTTTGATACCTCTTTTCCCCTCTACTCCTCTTTGTTGCATGTCTGGGTGATGCCTGGTGCAGTACACACTCAAAAGGGGGCACATATGAAAATGGCCCCAATCAGCTAGTCAGAGTGTCCCCAGACAGGCGGTGCTCTGATTTGGACCAGAGGCGGCCCACCAATCCTGGAAGTTTCTGATGGCAGCATGGGGTTCCCCCTTTCCCACGCAAAATGGATAGACCTGGGACTATGGGGAGACCACATAGTACCCATTTTTTTAGGGTACATAGCTTGTGCAAAGGATCTGGCAGCTTGCTTAGAGCTCTCAGATGTTTGTTTTTTTTTTTAGCCAAAAATGTGTCAAAAACGCATCTAAAAGATTAGTGCGTGTGCAGAAACCTGATCGGATCTGCTCTGCATTTGGTGTGAACAAGGCTTTAGCTTCATGAATGTGACCTTCCCCTCTGCTCTATCGCAGTAGGTTTTCAACATAGTCATGTATGATTTTATGGGCCCAATGGCACACTTGATTGCTGATTTGTTCAAAGAGACTATGGCGTGCTTCCCTGCAGAATCACTGTCTGACTTCCCGCAACAATAATAGCCTCTGAGACTTCGGCCTATCTAATGCTAATACTCTTCAGTCCCTGGTGGAGGATACCTGTGGAGCCCCAGGGCTCTGCTACTACTTCCAAACATTAAGAGCCCCATTAAGAGCACATTTTAGCTCCTAGTGCTGTGATTTACACCAATTTTAGGCTGGAAGAACAACCTACCACTTCTACCAGTGCTGTTCCCAGTTTAGGCTTCTTTAAGATCCCTAACACCACTTTTATCGTTTCCAGGTTCACCCATTGTTTTCTGTCTTCCTTTATAGAGATTGGAAGAACCCTGACATGGTGTCCACATCCTCCAGGCAAGTAGCGGCTTTGCACCCATTTGAGGAAGACTTTCTTACAAAGCAGGGTACCCTCTACTGTTCCGACAGTGTTTTGCCCTATACTGACGTTGACCATTGCAGTGGAGACTGCACCTGCTTTTTAGGACCACGTTTACTAGAATTTGGAGTACCTTTCTAGACTTTTTTTTCTTGGAAGGGCCTACTGTGCAATCTGCCTTGGCCATTTTGAGCTCATACCTGCAGCCTTGAGCTACTGTGTAGGCAGAGGACTGGGATTCACTTTCTTATTTCCTAGGAGTTTCTTTTCAGTGACCTTTCTGAGAACTCTTTGGTTAAAGTGTTGTGCTGCAGAACCGGCTTGCTAAAAGCATCTACTTAATTTACCCTGACCTGTAAAACAAGTATGGTAACTGCACAAATTAGTTTGCAACTAGCTTTCTAAATAAGGTGCATATGGAAGGGCTTTCCACAGTACAAACAAAAAATTTCCCAGCACTGCCAAAAACATACAAAAAAATTACACAGTCTAACAACTTAAAAACAAGTTTTAGACATTGCCTATCCCTCCTTGGTCTACTGAATGAAGTTAAAAACGTGTTGGATAAAAGTGGTTAAAAAAAATGTAAATTTCTGGGGGACCCATATGTGATGGTAATAAAATTAAGTGAAGAAAAAAAAAGTTTAAAACATATAAATTAAATCATTTTAAGACCCCTGCGCACATGTGCATACTAACACAAACATGTATCGAGTGTGCTTACGTATGAAAAGACGATTGCGCCACACATGTTGGGTATCACCGTGCATGTTGAAGGGAGAGCAGTAATTCTAAGGCCATTATTCGTAGTGAACTCTAAATTGATGACCTGTAACAGCGTTAAAGCATCCTCACTGTAGAGTGAGGAAAATAATTATTTGATCCCCTGCAGATTTTGTAAGTTTGCCCACTTACAAAGAAATTAAAGGTCTATAATTTTTATCATAGGTGTATGATAAATATCAACCTAAATCCAGAAAAAACACGATACAAATGTTATAAGTTGAGTTGTAGTTCAGTGAGTAAAATAAGTGTTGAGAAGCACAGAGGAAAGACGTTTCTTGTAGTTGGTTTCCAGGTTTGGACACATGTCAGGCGGGATTTTGGTCCACTCTTCTTTACAGATCTTCTCTAAATCCTTAAGGTTTCTTGGCGGTCACTTTCAGCTCCCTCCATAAATTTTCTATAGGATTAAGGTCTGGAGACTGGCAAGGCCACTCCATGACCTTAAGGTGCTTCTTCTTGAACCACTGCTTTGTTGCCTTGGTGGTATGTTTTTGGGTCACGCTGGAAGACCCATCCACGACCCATCTTCAGTATTCTGGCTGAGGGAAGGAGGTTCTCATCCAGGATTTTACAATGCATGGCCCCGTCCATTGGCCCCTCAATGCTGCAAAGTCGGCCTGTACCTTTAGCAGAGAAACAGCCCCAAAGCATAATGTTACCACCTCCGTGCTTGACTGTAGGGATGGTGTTCTTAGGGTCATAGTCAGCATTTTTCTTCCTCCAAACACGGCGAGTCGAGTTAATGCCAAAGAGCTTAATTTTGGTCTCCTCTGACTGCAGCACTTTCTCCCAATTCTTCTCTGAATCATTTAGATGTTCATTGGCAAGCTTTAGGTGGGCCTGTACATGTGCCTTCTTGAGGAGGGGGACCTTGCCGGCGCTGCAGGATCTCAATCCATGGCAGTGTATAGGGTTACCAATGGTTTGTTTGGTGACTGTGGTCCCAACTGCCTTGAGATCATTCACAAGCTCCTCCCCTGTAATGCTTGGCTGATCCCTCACTTTTCTCATGATCATCCTTACCCCATGAGGTGAAATCTTGAATGGCACTCCAGAGCGTGTGCGATTGATGGTTATTTTTGTATTCCTTCCATTTGCGAATAATCGCTCCAACAGTTGTTTCCTTCTCACCAAGCTTCTTGCTGATAGTGTTGTAGCCCATTCCAGCCTTGTGCAGGTCTACAATCTTGTCCCTAATTTCCTTTGACAGCTCTTTGGTCTTGCCCATGGGGGTGAGGTTTGAATGGAAGAAAGATTCTGTGGACAGGTGTCTTTTATATACATAACGAATTGTCATTAGGAACACCTTCTTAAATTGACAGGACTATTCTGTGTACCACATAGCCAGTCTGTGAGAGCCATAATTATTGGTGGTTGGTAGGGGGATCAAATACTTATTTTACTCACTGAACTGCAACTCAATCTATAACATTTGTATTGTGTGTTTTTTCTGAATTGTTGGTTGATATTCTGTCTCTATCATTTAAAATACACCTATGATAAAAAAATAATAGACCTTTCATTTCTTTGTAAGTGGGCAAACTTACAAAATCTGCAGGGGAGCAAATCATTATTTTCCTCACTGTATATGCAATTTTTGGTTCTGTAGTTTTTTTGCCATTTGACAGGTGCACACAGTTTTTTTTTTTTTGTAAATTCTTTATTTAAATTTTTCAAACAATACAGGTAATAGATCAAAAGATACATAAACAGAACAGCATGGTATGTGGCTAAAGCGTCTTCCTTGTCAGAGCTTACAATTCAACCAACAGTTATGGGATTATTTTAGGCCTGGCTGACAATTGCCAGGCGCAGTGGGCACAGGTATGCGTATGCATCTAGATAAGCTTATAAAACAGTTTACAATTGAAAGTGCTCCTGAGTAGATGGACAGATTGTTGTGTAATGGCACAGGTCCAGT